GGGTTTAATATTTTTCCTAGAACTTTTTTTTTTTTTTTTTTTTTTTTTTTTTTTTTTTTTTTTTTTTTTTTTAAAAAAAAAAAAAAAAAAAAAAAAAAGAAGAGGGTTCACTACTAAATCTTGGCCTGAAATAAAATGTAGGCCACTCTGACAACTGTGTTTCTTCTTCTAGATGGTAGCTGACAGTTTGGGGTTAACTTCCATATGACGAGGCAAAGGATTAGAGAAAATGATTGTTTCTCAGTTACTTTTGAGAATTTTCTTATTGTTCTTTTAGATTTTCAAAAATAAATATGGAGCCCGTCTTCTGCTAATTCACATTGTAAAAACCTGATTTTCAATAGGTTTGCATCTGTGTTCAGATAATGCTCTCCTTTCTCCACTCACAAATTTTTCACTCCTCTAATTCAGTGAGGTGGAGGCAATTACGTGCTCACAACTGTATTACTTGCTCTGGGATGTGGGGTAGCAATGAAGAATCCTAGGCAGAGAGATACCACCCTGTCCCAGCCTATCCTATCTATTTTTCTCAACACAAAGGCAGGAGTCTAGCATAACAAATGGGGAAGGAAGGAAAAAGCTTATTAGTGTTCTGACTCTCTATGTTCCCAGAAGAAATTCTGGCTATCAGGTACTCAGCTGATTCTTATAATGCAATTTGCTTGCCATGGGAAGCTGTCCGTTGATGAAAATTAAATAAATATGAGATATATGGACAAAATTGTTCTCCCCTGGTGTAACAGAAATTTTAAAATATTTGAGATAGAAAAGCATATTTGTCATGGCCTCAGAACAATCTCAAACACAAAAGCCTTACTTCTGGTCCCATAGGTGGTTGCCCATTTTACTGATTATATATCTTGTATCATGTGGCAGTCATGTAACAAGAACTTATTTTGGCATATAGTTGAAAAATGAAGCAGCATAGTTATGACAGCATTGATTTCTATACCTAAATAACGAGGCAAATCCTGAAAATAAGGTTGGTTGATTTACTTAATATAGAAGTTCCTGCCAATTTCCAATGTACTATCAAGTATAAGCATATTAATTTAAAGCCTAAAAAACCCCAAACAGCTGATTTATTATTTCTTTCATGCATATGTTTTTGAGTATTTGAATATGTCTACATCAAAAGAAACTAGATTTTTAGAGAGCCAGTTAGCTTGCGTTGCCAAGTTAACGAGTTCTGGTAAGGTCAGTCTGTCACAATAAATCTAATTATTACACTGTTATTTTCTTTATGTATGCAGTTTTCACCATATGCTTTAAGATGGAAAGGGTAGTGGAATAATGCTGTTCTGTTGTATTTGCTGGTGATATGCATTCTTACTCACTCAGAGAGGGGGGAAGAGTTTTGAGGGAAGCAGAGGACAGATGGACATTTTTCAGTTGGTGCTTGTATGACCTATTTAATCTGCAAAATTAGAAAATGGGAAAGTTGTCTATGACGCTGATGCTGACTTCACTTCTAGGTCTTTTTGAGCTCATTTAAAGTACGGTAATGAGAAAAACATTTTACCTTTGGGCAGCAATCTGATTTGTCAGGAAATTCCTCTTGCTATGATGGGTGGATGAGGAAAATTTGGAATAATATGATCCAGATGTTAGAGCTCCCATTTAGCAGCAATGCAGATGTATTATTTTATGGAATTGTCCAGATGGTGACCTTCCAGTATTAATAATAAATCAATACCAGGGTTTTCATCCGTATGACTCGATTCCTATCTTTGTCCTCATTTACATGACAAAAATACTCATGTATTTCATGTAGAGGTTAATAGTATTAAAATTAACGATCTGGAAGACATAAAAATCAATAAGGAAATTCTAAACAATTACTGCAAACAATATATACCAATTGATCTGATAACACCATCACCTGAGAGAAGGTTGTGATACCATTTTTTAATTAGCATTTCATTTTGCTGCTAACGTGATAACAAAGCTCTCTTACAGATTTGTATTAGAAGCTCCCTACTTTACTGAAGATGTGCATCCATTCAGTTTTGGCTTTACCACTTAAATTCAGACTTTACTTTCAGTCTACTGGAAATAAATTAAAAAAGCAACACACAGAATGTAAGCATATTGGAGAGGGATCACGCTGGACAGTAGTGAGGCATGCAGGAAGTGGGGAACCTTTGGTGGCCTCTGATGAAGGCCAGGAGACCTCAGCCTGTGCAACCTGGGATGTGTAGGAACCAATGACCTGCAGCATACCAGAAAGACTGCATGGCACAGAAGGAGCTCTGTCACTTTTATGGTCACAAGCAGTAGACTGTGGTCCTGTAAAGCCACAAACAGGGTGAGAAATGTCTAACAGTGATGTGATCTAATGATGCTGCATGGTTATCTTTCTGTTAATTGATTTAAACTTATATTGTGAAATTCCAGTTTGCTCAATAGTTGCATGCTTTCTGATGTTTAGGGAGATTTTTTATTATTTTTTTTCCTGACAGTTACTCCTTTTTCTTAGGAGAAAAAGAATAATCCAGTCCTGCTTATATTGAAATCTGTGTCAAAACTGTGTAAGGTTTCACAAGGAGTAACACACATTCCTTCAAAATTCAACTTTTTGGGTTAAGGAAAGAGATTAATCTCCTGTAGAAACAGGTTTTTACTCTAGTTGGATTGTGCTATTTGTTTGCTTTTAAAAAATACCCCTACCCTAAATTTGAAAACTGTTATCCCTCAGATTCCTTTCTTTTTCAGTAACCTTTCTGTAAAGATGCAAGCACTAACTCTACACCCATATACTAAAGTCAGTCTTCTTGATGGCACTATCTTTGCCATCATCCGGCTTCCACAATCCCAAATCCATGGTTTATTAATGTGATCATGGACAGAACTGACATTATAGGGCTTTTGAGTGTTCAGTGGGTTTCAAATATTTGCTTATTGGAAAAGAAGTAGAGTATTTTATCACTGCAGGCAATTTGAATAAATATACATCATTAAATTTAATATCATTCAATTTACAAAAAAGGGTTTAAAAGTTTAAGCCACAGCATTTTGTTGTGCTGTAGGAAGAGTTTTTAAAAAAAACCTTCAGTAAGTGGGGTCATGTGACTGAACAGCATCCCAAATCAATGCAGCCAAATGTGCCTTTGGGCATTTACAAGAGCAGCTGACAGGCTTAAAGGCCAAACTGCCTCCACTGATTTCAGAAAACTTGCCCCCAGAGCTTTAGCCCTACAGTCACCATATATAATTTGAGTTAGAAAACCAATTTTAATTACTTTTTTTTCCGGTAGCTTTAATTCTATCAATAGACAGTTTAGGTTTTTAAGAATAAGACGTGGGGGTCTGATGAGTTGTATTGCAGTGTTATAATCACTGGCTACACTGGGATTACTAATTGTTTACAGGGTGCAAGGCAGACTAACATCATTATGCTAGGGCCAAAGTCCCTCCTGTGTCAGATACCGTACAAGCCACTTTTTTTTTTTTTTTTAAGCTTTACAGTTTGGCAATCTGTTTATCAAACCTAACTATACAAAATGGAACCATAGGATGTCATTACTTTGAAACGACCTGTCTCAATTTTGCCAGCAGTTAGTCACACTGCTGCAGATGTGGGTTGTTCCTCTTTATGTCACCATCAGACTTCACCGGTGGAGATCCCTGTCAATGGGGGGAATGCTCTCAGTTATTACCAGTTACTTCACTCTCAGACCAACATGCAAACCTCTCTGAGGAAGAACACCGCAGTATGTCCTCTTTTGTTGGTTTTGCCTTCTTTTGGGGGGTTTTGGGGTATTTTTTCTTTAAGGAAACCTGTAGAAGGAGAAGAGGAAATAAGAATTTCCCTGGAACAAATCACTGATTATAAAAAGGACCATTAGCAGTTGAATTTGAAGGAATATTCTAATTGCAGTATGAATAAGTTCATCTAAACCAGTGTTTATCAAGCATGGCATGCAAATGAAAAGGAATTAAACAAGAGTTAAAATTAAATTAATTCTATCAGTTCCATCTTTGTTTTTAATTCTTCAGACTCTTGCCATCAGCAGTCATCCCAGCTGTTATTGAGCCTGAAGAGCTCAATTTGGTATATATACCAAATTTTGGTACATATACCAAATTCTTCCTTCTCCAGTCTTCTGAAACTCTGTCTCTCTACCCTGGGTGTGTAAAGTCAATTACTAATGGTTCAGAGTTTGCTTCTTCTAAGTTTTAAGTATTTTAGATAAGTTTCATTAATGGTATACTGACTTGACTATATCTAACTTACCTCAGTTGTTTTTCACCTTTTCGTGTCCTGTTCTGGTGTATGTCTCCCTCTTTCAATTCTCAACTGTTAGTTTTAATTATGTTAGCAATCTGTTCACAATTACCACTTCTTGTGAAGACTGAAGCAAAACAAAAAGGTTTTGTATCTTTTTTCCCTTTACTTTTTCCTGTACCATACATTTTTATTCACCTTTAAGTGAGGGAGAAATACAGAAGTGTAAAACTTCTACTGAATTTATATGAATATTTCAGTAGAAACTCTGTATGTGGCATTTTGTGCCACTCTGCAAAATACACAGTCTTGAGCAGTCTGTCTTTTCTCTTATCCATAGGTTGGTCTACAAATGATTCCTCCTGATCTATAAACCGAGTTGTGCAATTGAAATTGTGTGTTATGTAGCCATAATGTTTACCATGATTGTATTTAATTTATTCTTTAGCTAGGTATCTTCAGGTAAAATGGGGATTGGCAAACGTTATGATTTCCTATTTGATAGATTTTACTTTATTTGCACTGAAATTGCAAACTGATCTCTTCACCACCCACCTCAACATATGAAACCCTTTTATGTTGTGTGGCTGTAGGTTCTCTAACTTACTGATTTTTATTATTGCACAGTTGGCCTAAAGTTTGACATTTAGTAATTTTGCAACTTGTATTTGTGGTGTGAAGGAAGGAGGGGAAAAACCTTGAAATACATACAGCCACTGTGTTGACTCATTTAATCCCTTAATTTAACTGAGGCTGAGTTAATCCTCAGTCCTTCATCACCTGAAGGAGATGAGACATAAACTGTCTTGATGTAAAGGATAAAAATAGATAAGCACATTCATATCAAAACCACATTAGAATTTTTTCTGATAATTATGATTTCTTGCTCTGCCAGGCTATAGTTTTGCTAGGGGGTTCTTCTCTTTTTCTTTTGACTATTGCCAAAGACAATACTGTGTATCCAGATGAGTCTCCACCTAACCTCTTAATCCAGGAGAATTTTTGCCTGGGTAGAATTTTAATTTTCTTTATGTTTGTCCAGGATTTCTGTCTGACTTGCAGCCCAGTCAGAGCTACTGTATTGAACTCTGTTTGAGGCACCGTCTGACCAGAAATTCCAAGGATTCCTCAAGAGCATGTAGATCAACTACATAATGCATCTGCTTTAAGTCTAACACTTCTTGGAGGTATTGGAGATACTACACACACGTAAATCAGCTGTTCCTTTAAGTGTCAGATTTATTGCCCATACCTTGTATAATTGATTAACCCAAAAGTACATAGCTCTGATGGAAAATTCTTGGCAGAAACTTACCAGTCTTGCGTTACCAATTCTGTTAAGCTTTATTCTGTTGAGGTATTTTATTTAACCAGCTAACTTCCCCCACCAGTGTATTTTAAAGATACGACTACAAAATTTGTTAGCTCTATTTTAAAGGTTCTTACTTTGTGCCCTGTGGCAGCAGAAATGATAAGTGGGTTTTTTGATGTTGAGAAGCTCCATTTTTATGAGTATTCAGTAGCCAGGTTTCAGTCTCCCAAGACCTGTAACACATATAATCTCAGAGAGGTGACAAGAGATGTTAACATTTTTGCAGACTCTATTGGGTTGAGTTTTTGGGGGTTAGGGGGTTAAGTACAGCTTGCTGCAATTTAGCAAAGGTTTCATTCTGAGGAAATTGTATTCAGGAGGACATCGGGCTCCCTCAGCTACAGAAACTTAACATTTCTTTGACTGGCATCTTACACCTGATTGAAATTTGGCTGATCTTGTTGCTTCTGCAAAACAACTAAATACACCTAATTGTTCTGTAGAATAAGACCCGAAGCAAGGTCTTTTCTACAATAAAATGTGTTGGCTTGAACTTCCTATAACAGAGCTGAGTAGCTGTGGCTCCAAAAGCAGTTCATAGCCTACTTTCAACATTGCTTGCTGTCAAGCACACTGATACCTCAGGTATGAGCGTGGCTGCTGCTGCAAAAGGAAATGAAACTAAACCTGCAGCTTGAAGGAAGCAGGAGCTAACTAGAGTAAAAATCCGGTTAATGTTTTATTCTGGCATTTTGGTCAAGAACAGACTCACCTGAGTATTCTTTTGTGGTTTTATGACAGAATCAAGTCTGATGACTCCATGGATTTCTGGCGATGCTACATTTTTACAGACTGTACTATGAAGGGATGGGAAGAGACTTTGCAGAGACTTGTTCTGACTACATGGCTTCCACCATTAGTGTAAGTGCTGGGTATCATCATCCTGGATACCACTTGCAAGGCCTGGAAGTGAGCTCTTGAATCTCTTGTGCCCCTGGGTTCATGAGCATAAGGTCTACTGGATACCCTGTCAGTAAATTAACCTCACCTTTCCTTGAGGAGAGCTGTTCTTATGCCATAGACAAACTGCTGAACTCCCTTGTCAATCTTATAATTAGAACAGCCTCAATGAAGTAGTAGCCAGTGACATATGACACAGCTTGATTTGCGGTTTCCAACAGGCTGGTTTCTATTTACAAGGGGCTACAAAATTTTTCTAATTGCTAGAGAAGACAAGCTTCTTGCTTCCCCAAAGTCTGTGAAAGACTCTTCTTGCCCTTTCCTTTTTATAGCTCTTATCTTCCCTTTCCAAATAAAGTGATTATCTCAGCACAATTCTCTTGTGCCCCCGATACTTAAAATCAAGCAGACAGCTGCTAAAGTTCTTGCACCAGCAGTAAGATTTTAATTATTTCTTGGTAACTCTGTGCATCCTGGCACTAGTAAACTATGACAGCTGTAGCCATTTTCATGCTGTCCTTATCTTTGATAGCACTTAAAGTATGTTTATGCATCTTTAACTCTAAGCAAATATTTTGTTGTTCTTTGGCTTCTTTTTTTCCTGTAAACTTGATCTTGATAGTTTTACAACATCAGTGGCATACCAACAAAAAATTTGTCCAATGACATCTGTGCTGTCTGCGGGCAGAAATTTTTTGTGGATATAAATGAAGAAGGGATCATTGAAAATACCTACCAGCTGTCCTGTAATCATGTGTATCTTTTCCATGTAATTACGGAACTTGTGTTTTCTCCTCTTTTATGCTGGATTAAAAAATAATAACAATAAATACCAAGAAAGAAAAAAAAAAAAAAAGGAAAAAAAACCACATTCAGAAACAACATAGCACAAAAGCAAAAATAGGATCATGAAATATATTTCGGTTCTCTGACACAAATTGGGGCCACACAGCTTTTTGACAGACAAACTGATGCAAGAGTGGCCGTAACCCTGTGGTTTCAGGCCTAAATGTGCCTTCCAGGTAGTTTGTGCACAGCCTGTGTGGGTGTGCCTGGCAGCACATCAGACCAGGCATGCTGTCCCACTGGTCAAGTCTGCTGATTCAGGCTCCTGAGTACTGCAGAGGATTTCCTCTGGCTGTGCCTGAGGCTGTGCTAGCTGGCTAGTTTTAAGCAGATGTGGAGCCCTTCTCAAAAGAAGGCATAAACATAGCCTTCAGCATGACAGAAGACCCAGTGTCTCATAATCTGCATTTTGCATTCCAGAAACCTAAAAGAAAGGTATCACATACGTGCTGGAACATTGTTTGTAATCACCCTCTTCTGCAGTTCATAAAAGTCTCCTGGCTTCTTGCAAGCTGGAAAATATCAATACCAGTCTGGATGTTCAGGACATTGGATTCAACTTTAAAATAATTCTAAATATTCAAAATATTTTAAGAAGTCACTTGAAACTGCTCAGTTATACAACAAGACAGTATCCATAATCAGTCATTAAAAGTATCTGTTGATGGTTTGACAGGTTTGCAAAGGTATGCATTGGGCTTTTTTTATATTTCAAAGATTCCTTAACAATATGCCTGATGATACCACATTTCATGAATCTGGCATCCATGGTTGGTGCATTGCTGGCAAGAACCAGACTTGCCCATACTGTGCTGAGGCAGTTGATTTAAAGAGAATCTTAAGTAACCCATATATCCTCTCCTTAACAAGTGTGCTTTTGATTTGTATTTTCTAAACTGTAGCCTGATTACTTACTAATTCTTGTTTTGATCTGCAGTGGAAGGATGAGATGGCCACATTAAATAAATGGAAAGCCAATTATTATTAAGGAACAATTATATTTAGGGAAGACGATAGTTCTGTTTGGCTTTATCTTATCTAAGACCCCAAGTAAGCTAGGAATAGAAAAGTGCATATAAATTTCCTCCTTGATTTTAAGACATCCGGAAATCATTTTTATAATGAGAGGAACATTTTAAAGAATGTAAATCAGAGTTTTAGAAAGACCATGCAGTGGATTTTGCTCTTTAATGAAACAACAAAATGTATATAATCCACTTTCAGACAAGTGCTGTTTTTTCCCCTTCTCTTAGTAGTTAGTAAACAACATTTTTCTTTCAGCAAATGAAATATTAGTTGAAGATCTGCTGCTACATCTGTAGAAACCTTCTTGAGTGGAAGCAAAGTTTGTCTTATTTTTTTGAAACCTATTTCAACCATATGTGAGGAGGATATTTAAATTGAACCTTACCCCAACAAAAAAGGAAGTAAAGAAGGCATTTCAAAATTTTAACCCAATCCTTTTTCTTTGATTCTGGCTAAGAAAAACACAAGATTTACCTATTATTGCATTTTCTCTCCAGTTTACCTATTATTGCATATTCTCTCCAGTTTCCTTAACAACAGATTAGGTGGGAATGCACACATATTGTATGGACAACTTTTGGACTGGATCTGCTCTCTGGTGGTTTGGCAATAGATTGCTATAGGTGTTGTCCAAGGCATTAATTACCCAAAGGGTCTAGAACAGGACTCAGATTATTAGTGAGAATGCAAAGTGTTGGATATTTACCTGTCTACGATAATACACATATTGTATACTTAATTTTAAAAGACTAGAGAAAATAGCAGTTGGTTGAACTCTGGTGTGCTCTCCCTTTTGCAGGATAGTGCCTCTTTTTGCATTGCAGCAAGACTGTACAGCATGCTATTAAAGCATTTTTTTATTTTGTCAAAGTTAGAATTTAAAAAAATTGTTGCCTTTAATGGGAAGATTGTGCTAGAAAAAATAGGATTTGTTTTCTTATTATGAATATCCCTTAAAAAACGAAAAAGAAACTGCCAATATTTTAAGTTTGCTTCATTATTAAATATATTGGTAGTGGCTTCCAGTTGTAATTCTGACTACAGAAAGTTGTGTAGCAGATAAAGAGAGTTTTGTCAGACAATGGCTTTGTAAACAGCAGATTCTGAAAAATGGCACGCAAATAGTTTGTTCATTTGGTTAACGAAAGGCAATACAAGATTACCATTAGCTTTTTTCCCCTCACCTCTTTCAAGAGTTGCTGTACTGTAATTCATATATCTTCCAGTGGCCATTTACAAAAAGGTCTAACCACAGCAATGTTTATAGTGTGACTGGTAGTCAGACAGTCCTGTGTGTAGAGATCCTGTATTAAGTCTTCTTTGACTGACTGTCACCATGCTCAAAAGGCCCCACTTCCAATAAACAGCTTCGCAAAAACAGGAAGATGAAGTTACGATCCCTAACAACCGATTCCATTGCTATTGGGGAAAACAACAACAAAAAAAAGAAGAAATAAAACAACAGCAACAAAAAAAACACCAACAAAAACCAGATCAAAATGGATGTAAAAGTCTTGCGCTTAGCAAGCGAATATCTGACATCTCTACTGCCCTGGCCATGCTGTAAGGAATTGAAATGCAGCATGTTAATGCAAGAACAGGCAGCTGATTTTCAAAGGTAGTTAGGCCTTGCTGAAGGAGCTTCTGAATGCAGATGACATATGGTCAGTATGTTAAGAATCTTGACATTGCTATTAGAAACCAGAGATACAGATTCATATTTTGTAACAATTCAATGATTCTAACCCCGAGAAGCAGCTCAGCACTGCACAGCCACTCACCCTCCCTGCAGTGGGATGCAGCACGGAATCAGAAGGGTAAAAGTGAGATGACTCCTGGGTTGAGATAAAGACAGTTCAATAGATAAAGCAAAAGCTTCACACAAGCAAAGCAAAAATGAGGAATTCATTCACTACTTCCTGTCAGCAGACAGATGTTTAGCCATATCCATGGAAGCAGCGGTCCATCACACATAACAGCTACTTGGGAAGACAAAAACCATGACTCTAAATGTCCTCCCTTCCTCTTTCTTTTGCACAAGTATTACTGCTGAGCATGACATTATATGATATGGGACATCTCTTTGGTCTGCTGTGCTCAGCTGTCCCAGCTGTGTCCCATCCCAAATTATCATGCACCATGATATCTCACAGGACAGCGAGAGAAACAGAAAAGGCCTTGATGCCATACAAGCACTGTTCAGCAAAACTAAAACATCCTTGTGTTACCAGATCTGTTTCAGTCACAAATCAAATGACAACACCATGGGAGCAACTATGAAGAAAATCAACTCTATTCCAGCCCAAAGCAGTACAAAAACTAACGACCACAGCTACAAAAAGAAAATAATCTCACAGCGAGTAATAGAATTTACAGTAGCTGAGCTCTCTGTTCCTGAGACACAGATAGGGGATGGGATGACCACGCAAGGGAAACAATCCCGAGTACATTTCTTACATATTTAGTCTTTAATGTCTCTGTCTAGGATTTCAGAGCTACTTTCAAATTAAACCAAAACCTCTCCTGCTGCTCTTCTTCAGGAGGCCACTCCAGGTAGGTCTTTGTGTTCATGATCTTCCGCAGCTTGCAGAACCTCTTGGGAATGTCTTGGCTCTGGATGGGCTCCAGGAGGACCAGAATGGCCGCATCGTTGTTCTCGTCAAAGAGGCGGAAGTGCGAGAAGTCCAGCTCGTACTTGCACCACTCGCTCTGCACAAAGTGCTCAGACAGCACAAAGAGCGTCTTGTGGCTCTTCTCGATGGAGTCAATGATGTTGTCCACGATCCACTTCCCCGGCACAAAGTCCCGCTTGTGGAGGCAGAGCCGAAAGGGGGGGCAGGCCTGCTCCAGCTCCCGCACCATGATGTTTTCCACCCACTCGGAGTCGTTCTCGCTGTAGGAGACAAAAGCGTCGTAGCAGATGTCCTTTGGAGGGGCTCGCTTGGGCTTCCGCTTGGCCTGGAGCCATGCCCAGGTCATTCGCAGGTACCAGACCGCGTGGTACTTGTAGCCAACGGCCACGAGGACAAGGATGACCAGGAACACCAGGACGCAGATCATCGACACCACCAGGGACCTGTGGCACTCCATCAGGGAGAGGTGCACGCCTCCAACCTGCGCCCCTCTCACTGCCAGGGGAGAGTCACAGATGTATTGGTGCGGCCACCCCACCAGCACCTGGGCTATCCCGGCCTGGTGCTGGATGAAGGAGAGGAATTCGCAGGAGCAGATGAAGTTGTTGTCGCTGGCATCCAGCAGCTCCATTTTCTTGAAGGACTCAAACTCTTCCCTGGAGAAGCTGCTGAGCTTGTTTCTCCTGACTGACATGGCCATGAGGTTAGGAATGGGTGCAGCACCAGGCAAGGTCTTCAGCTGGTTTTTTGCAAGGTACAGCTCTTTGAGAAAAGGGAGTTGCAGTCCAAACTCCTGCAGCTTGTTAGCACTAACGTCCAAAACTTCCAGCGTTGGGGGAACGCAAGTCGTTACTTTAGAAATTTGAGTGCTGGAGAGGTTTAAGTATTTCAGGTTTTTCGGCCATTCACACACATCTGGAATCTCACCAAAATTATTTTGGCTAATGTCTAAGTGAGTCAATTTTCTTAGATGAGACAAACTTTTACCTGTCATTTTACTTCTAACCAAGCGACAGAGTGCAGAAGGTCGCTGACAATTGCTGAGAAAACACTAGTGTTCCTTACGTTTATGATCATGTGATTTATCTTCTGAATCGCTTTCAAACTTCCCGGCTCGTACTGCCTGAGATTGCCACCATCAATCCACAACTCGTCAAGAAGCTCGATGCCCTCAAAGTTGCCTTGCCTTATTGTGGAGAACCACAGGTTGCCCAGGTAGAGAGAGCTCAAGTTCCTCAGGCTAGAAAAGGGGGAGCTTTCCCCCAGGTCCCTGTAGGAGTTCCCTTGAAGGTGGAGGTGCTGGAGAGAAAAAAGCCACCCAAACCACGCAGGGGACAGGCGAGCCAAGCTGTTATTTGATAAGTCCAGGAGCTCCAGTTTCCCAAGGGCACGAAACGAGTCCTCGTCTATTGAGCTGATTGCATTGGACTGCAGCAGCAGCATCCGCAGGTTCACAGTCTGCTGCAGATCCTGGGATCGGATGTGCTTGATCCTGTTGTGGGCCAGGTTTAACACTGTGATTTTGCCCGTGAGCCCTGAGGGAATGAAGTCCAAACCCCTGGAAGAGCAGTTGCAAAGCTGGGTGGCATCGCATGAAGGACAAGCCTGCTTCAGCGCTTGCTCTTCGGAGAGGTCTGCAGCTATGTAGATGGCCATGTAGATGGCCCACACTCGCCAGGTGTGTGTAGTCATTATTTTGCCTAAAATATGAAATACAGTTAGAGCAAATATAAAATGAATAGTTAGTTTTGAAGAAGCTATAATTTAGTTATATATATATATAGCTAAAACATAACTCCATAACCCTTAGTGTTCTGTGCAGTTGAAGGCATTGTGAATATATTTGTTTTCACACTGTTCAGAGATGAAACAATTAGTCAAAACAAGGAGCATTGTACATAAATATTGCAGAATAGTTTTTTAAATGCTAAGTACACTGAATTTACTCTTTTTTTCCCTGTGGTTTCTAATTTTGCAGTGAGGACTATTAAATTAATTAACAGTTGCACAAATCTTTTGCAAATTCAGCTAAACATCTGAATAATCACAACATTATTACTAGTCTGATCCTTTGTTTAGAAAATAGTGCCCATACATCCTCTTAGGAATTTTTCTTCTGCATCTGTGACTGTTATTTTGCATATTCATATTTTACTACAAGGAGTCTCATGTATGTGTTTCAAATCCTGTTTACATCAAGAAGACTCAGTGTCTTGCGGGAGATAGTGATGTTCACTTTTAATACTCATTTCAATCATATGTCTAATCTCAGTTCTGACAATAGGGAGAAGAGGGCTGCATATCTTTCAGTCCCTTTCCTCATTTTATCTGCCATCAGCTATTCTGACTGTAAATGTTCTAGTATCAGGGAAATAAATGTTTGCCTGGATGTCTGTGTACACCGTCGCCATCAGTCTTAGATCATACTTGCTAATGAAACTTAATCTGGGAAAACTGACCACTGTAACATACTGACTCTTAGCTCTTCCTTCTTGCTACCACATCCTTCTCTGCCAGTGCCTTTTTCAGCTTTGGATCTCAGTGGCAGAGAGGTCAGGCCCAGCCACCAGGAAGAGCCAGGGGTTTTTCGAGCCTCCTGCAGACCAGCTGGCTGGACTAGATCCACTTTTCCCAGCCCCACAGCCTGTTCCTCACATTCTGGACTGAAATGATTCAAGAGAAGCCACACAGCTATGGATCCTGTGACACTTCTCTTTCCTCTCATAGTTGTGGCTTTCAATAGTACTGATTTGACATGGCTTTTGTGTTACAGAGCTCGCTGCAATATCCAGCCTGTCCTTCCTTTCAACAAGATTTTAGTTCCTCTGTCTCTCTGAGGAGTTGGAGAAACAATTCTTGAAGCCTGAAAGAGTTGTTTTCCCTTGAAAACCCTTATTAGATATTGAATTATAGTCCTTTTTTGTTTATGGTTTCTTGACAAGATCAAAGAACACTTTTAAAGTATAACTTTCCCCAGTGCATCATAACCCCCCACGCACACAGCTCAGCAGGTATCTTCCTGAGGGTGAAAAGAGGGAACCAACCCATAAGAGGCCAATGAACAGGTTCCCAAAGATCACTGTGGGCTCTGCATGAGGTTAATTGGGTAACACTGGCTCACTGAGGAGTACTTTCTCCTTCAGTCATCCCACCGGGACTCTGCAGAAGTTCTACTGTACTTTGAATTCGTACTCTAATTTATTTACAATAGCTGATTCACACAGACAAGTTCATACAGGTCCTACCCTTCTAGTTGCATTATTTTTAGCCAGAGTTGCTTACAATTATTCAAAAGGGGCACTGAATTCAGTGAAAATTCAGTGAAAAGGGGCAGATTACCTGAGATTGTTTGATATAGGGAGAGGAGAAAAAGTCGTGGATAACTTTTGTGGATAACTTTTTCAATCACTCCATCTCTTCCTACCCAAAGGACTATAAACATTTTGACCTCTTGTGTTATTTTCCTTTAATCTCTTTCTCTCTCTGATGTAGAGCTTTGGGTCTTGTAAGACACATTCCTCCCCCCTGTCTTTAGATGCCCACAGCTGAGCTGGTCACCCACCATGTCCTCCAACATCAATGGAGAGAAATAACAGTTTTTAGGGGAAATTCACATCATGTCTCTGAGAGACTCATGCTAAGATAAGATGACTCCAAGAGAAATGACCCCATCAACTTAACATGGAGCACCATAGTTTAGATACCTAGAGGTTTATGCATGTGAATCCCACCCAAAGAATTGTGATCTGTAGTCACACTCACCTGCCATCCTGCTGAGGCTCTTTTACAGTGCTTTTTTGGTCTTGCAAGTCTAGCTGGATTACAAAGTGCTGTAGGCCATGGGAACAAAGCTATGAGTAAATGACTTTCACAAGCAACAAATTTAACTGGAATTTTAAAAGTTACCATCAAAATGCTTACTGTTAGAAAAAGAAACAACCAGGCAACGTGGCTGATCAAAATCTGTCTATAGGTAGGTTATTTACAAATGGAAAATTGGCAGCACAGAAGGGAACTGGGCAGGTAGTGATATTTATGCTGGAAATACCAGCTGAGCCTAATGGCTCTCCACCTTACCAGCCTGAAAACAATCAGGGACTGCAGCACGAATCCCATTTGGTGGTACAGGACACTTTTCTTTATTGTAACTTCCCTGAGCATCTTTTTCAGATGCTCAGGGAAATCCCATTTCCACCCTCGTTCATTTTCAACCATTCTTCCCTTTCCTATTCCCGTCTAATAATTCAGCTTACGACCCTGATTTAGAGGCCTCCTTGCACCCATTCAGAAATATGGCCCTACTCCACAACATCATTGCCCTACCAAGGAATCACTTTTCCCTGTTGCACTGGAAAGAAAAAAAAAAGCCACATAAAAATCTTTCATGCAGCTAATAATATGGAAACTTGCACAGATGCCCTTATAACGTAAGGCGCTGCCATTAACTAGACTTTCAAAGTGTTTCTGGGTCATGGACAAAGGGTCCAAGCCATCAGACATGCTCAGGATTACCTTCCCTGGCTCAGGCCAGTAGAAGAGTTTGAGGAAATACGCGCATATTCTTAAACAAAACCATGAGTGCCAACAGAAGAAGACTTTGTAAATACTAACAAATGCTAACGGCCAGTGTAACCACTAAAATAAAGCATGCCAGTAGCATGCAAGTTGATTCCAGCCTGGGGAACACTGTCAAGCTGAACGAGGGCTGGTGGTTTCGAGCAGTGCTGCAGAGTGTGCGGCGGCAGGGTCACCGGTGGGTGAAGGGATCTCTCCAGAGTCAGACCTGGCACAGCCACAACCACTTTCCACGTGGCTGGCTGCGGGCTGTGTACGTCCTGGCTGTCACCCACCAGCACCCTGAATAGTACCTGTGCGCACACACACACACACGCACGCACACACACAGAGGCATGCTACTTTCTTGTTTCTGACACAGGAGGGGTGCGACAGGGCAGAGTTAGGGGAGGAGATAGTTAATCCTGCTGCCCCGAGACCGTCGCGGAATGAGCTCTTCCCTGGTTCAATTCCTAAAATCAATGAACCCCCCCCCTTCACGCCCAGCCTTTCCTGGGCAACCGGTGCCGACAGACACGTGGGACAGCGTACAAACAGGACAAAGCACACGCAGGGCAAGCTCCCACAAGGAAACTGAGCAGGAATCAGAGAGTCTGACCCAAATGCTTTCTTTTTCATTTGCTGCTCTCCTCTCTCCCCTCTCCTGAAGGACATTGCTCCCACCAGCCCTTCCCGGCTCTCGCAGGGAGCCTTCCCTTTGCTGCCTGCTCTACTTCTGGCAGCCAGAAATCCCTCCTGCCCCCCACCCCTGCAGGAGCTGGCCCCTGCCAGCAGCCCCGAGCGCCCTGAATTGCCCATGCAGAGGAGGAGGACTTGGTGGCAGAGACAAGAGAGCCTCTTCCTAGTGCTTGCTCCTTGCTTCTTGCTCTGGCGCCGCAGCCCCACTCTCTTTCCCCGTGTCTCCAGCCTCCACCCCTCTGCAAACTCACCTCCGTGCAGAAAAAATTAGCGTGGTCTCCAGCTCCGGTGCCTGCATGATGGTTAGCTTACGTTGTGTTTCATCTCTCTCTCGTCGATTGCTCTTTGCCCAGCTTCCTCTCACGGTGCTGTTTCCTTCCCGCTTCACCTCTCTGCCTTGGCTCTGTAAGCAGGGGAATTCCCACCTAGGGCATCTGATTGGCATAAGAGCAGTCACACTGTCAGGCTTTTTACATGTGCCAGCCCATAGAAGTCTGGGTCTATGGTAAGAAAGAGCATACTGTGTAGGCTTCTCCTACCTCTCTCTGACCTTCTCTTTGAATTGATGAGCAACTCCTCCTTACCTCTAGGCACACCGTCTCCTAATCTGTTTTCTGAGTGCCTAGTGTTCGTTACTGGGTGATTCACTCATCACTCACCTGGAGTTCAGCCATGATTAGCCCGTGAGCTGTTCTTCTCCGGGAGAGTGAATAAAAAAATCCTTTCATAGTAGACTTTGGACTTAGCCTAGAGATATCCTTATAGCGGCAAAGTAGAACTGAAAGTTGTTTTTGCAGACTACGCCCACAGAAACTATCGTCTCATGCGTGTGTATAAGTATACACATGCACAAGGGAGTGTGAATATATACATAGGCACGTACACAGATATACATATATAAAAAGATGTGCATATATACCAACACAAACACATGTATAAGCAAATTTCCCCATTTTTCAAATACTCAGTCCATATGCCAATGCTTTGGTATTTCACCACAAAACCATTGCATGTATGAAGTTTAATCAAGATTCATTTAGACTCTCCTGTACTTCAACTCCAACACCACAAGCAGAGGGGAGCATGGAAGTGCCAAGTTAGAGAAGCCCACACCTAACTGCATCCCCTCAGAGACAATTTCAGGTTTCCACAAGAGTGCCTAAAGCACAAAAACTTTCTGACTGCACACTGTGACTGTGACTGCAGCCACTCAGGGTGGGACCAGCTATCTTAATGTGAACATTTGTATCTACTTGCTTGTCTAGATTCCCTTTACAACCGAAGGGCAGTATAGCAGTTTGAGGAGATACCTCACACCAAGGTAAAAAGATTAATCGCCTCTTATCAGTGTGATTTTCTGCAGGGGTTATAAAGGAAGCTGAGTAGACCTGTAAGGGATATATGGCCCAATGATTACTTAAGTGTGCTGTGCAAAGTGGAAGAGCAGAAACAAGAAGTGAGCCAGTCTGCAACACCATCTAGCCTGCTCATTAGAAATACATCCTTGCACCCCAAAAATAGAAGGCTTCACCTGTGGGTAGGGAGAAGGTGGTGGTGTCGGCAAGGAGAAAAACAAGTATTCACAAGGAGAAAGAACCTCAGAAAAAAAAAAAAAGAAAAAACCACAAAACCAGTGATTTAACACCTGTGGATTTCACCACAGTCATTGTACAAAGTCATGGGATGCTTCCTTCTCGGGCATTGAGTAAAACCCAACCAGTGCATGGTGGAATAAACCCTGGTGTAACTAGCCAGAATAATGTGGAGGTATGTATTCAATACTGTCTTTTTTTGTGTGTTGCTCAGAAGTAGTAGGGTTTCAGAGGGCTTATTTTAATGTAGGGTCCTCGGGGTTTTTTCAGAATTTAATTTTAATTACCCTGCTATGCATGGTGGTGTTGAAAATAAACTAAAGTAGAATAACAGACATGGGGGAGTATTGACACACTTGGCTTTTATTTTCATTTCTAAACTACAATGGTACTGTTAGGAGCTAGTTGGGAATATGGTAACAGGAGAAAAAAATACAGAAGTAACCTAAATTCAGCTAAAAGTGTATGAATTCCAACATGACTTCCAAATATTATAGTTACTGTTGGGGATTTTGAAAGATTACAGTATCAAATAACTGGAAAGCCTAAAGTGGGTCTCTGTCATTTAGTAAGATGATGATTATTTCTATACACAACAAAGCAGATTCTCCTTGGAGAGAAAAATAAAAAAGAAAAATTTCTTAGCTGGAAGAAACACTGACATCTGTCCTGCGTGGATATATACTGAAACGGGGGCTGACAACTTGTTCTATGACTTCAAGGCTACTTTTAGGTTTTCCCAAAACCTCTCCTGCTGCTCTTCTTCAGGAGGCCACTCCAGGTAGGTCTTTGTGTTCATGATCTTCCGCAGCTTGCAGAACCTCTTGGGAATGGCTTGGCTCTGGATGGGCTCCAGGAGGACCAGAATGGCCGCATCGTTGTTCTCGTCAAAGAGGCGGAAGTGCGAGAAGTCCAGCTCGTACTTGCACCACTCGCTCTGCACAAAGTGCTCAGACAGCACAAAGAGCGTCTTGTGGCTCTTCTCGATGGAGTCAATGATGTTGTCCACGATCCACTTCCCCGGCACAAAGTCCCGCTTGTGGAGGCAGAGCCGAAAGGGGGGGCAGGCCTGCTCCAGCTCCCGCACCATGATGTTTTCCACCCACTCGGAGTCGTTCTCGCTGTAGGAGACAAAAGCGTCGTAGCAGATGTCCTTTGGAGGGGCTCGCTTGGGCTTCCGCTTGGCCTGGAGCCATGCCCAGGTCATTCGCAGGTACCAGACCGCGTGGTACTTGTAGCCAACGGCCACGAGGACAAGGATGACCAGGAACACCAGGACGCAGATCATCGACACCACCAGGGACCTGTGGCACTCCATCAGGGAGAGGTGCACGCCTCCAACCTGCGCCCCTCTCACTGCCAGGGGAGAGTCACAGATGTATTGGTGCGGCCACCCCACCAGCACCTGGGCTATCTCGGCCTGGTGCTGGATGAAGGAGAGGAATTCGCAGGAGCAGATGAAGTTGTTGTCGCTGGCATCCAGCAGCTCCATTTTCTTGAAGGACTCAAACTCTTCCCTGGAGAAGCTGCTGAGCTTGTTTCTCCTGACTGACATGGCCATGAGGTTAGGAATGGGTGCAGCACCAGGCAAGGTCTTCAGCTGGTTTTTTGCAAGGTACAGCTCTTTGAGAAAAGGGAGTTGCAGTCCAAACTCCTGCAGCTTGTTAGCACTAACGTCCAAAACTTCCAGCGTTGGGGGAACGCAAGTCGTTACTTTAGAAATTTGAGTGCTGGAGAGGTTTAAGTATTTCAGGTTTTTCGGCCATTCACACACATCTGGAATCTCACCAAAATTATTTTGGCTAATGTCTAAGTGAGTCAATTTTCTTAGATGAGACAAACTTTTACCTGTCATTTTTAAGTTACTCAGTGAGTTCTGACTTAAATTTAGAATTTGAAGTGAGGGCCAACCACCCCGGCAGGCTGAATGCTCCAAACTCTTGTCTCCAAGCAAATTCGCATTAAGGTCAAGATACTCTAATGACCGAAGATGTCTCGAAAGGCTGCAAGGTACCAAAAAGACCTTCGTGTTTACAACTGTGATTTTAGTAAAGATAGACAGTAGATCTTCTACTGCCTTCAGATCAGTAAACAAATAAAATTCTTCTATAGATAATTTCTCTATTGTCAGAACTCTAAGAGTCTGTGATTGGTTTGCTTGGACTTGTCCTCCCCATTGTCCAGTTCCCAAGAGTCTACAGTTAAGAGTCTGTGATTGGTTTGCTTGGACTCTTCCCCATTGTCCAGTTCCCAAGAGTCTACAGTCTATCAGCTCCACCTCCACTAATTTTGGCATGTCTTCTAAAATGCTGACAACCTCAGGCACAGTAGTGTCTGTTAATAAGGCTTGTTTAAAAGACATTTTCTTTGCAAAAGACGACGACATGACTTTCAATCGTTGCGCTTCAGCAGGTTCCCTGACTGCTATGTTTCTCACTTCTAACCAAGCGACAGAGTGCAGAAGGTCGCTGACAATTGCTGAGAAAACACTAGTGTTCCTTACGTTTATGATCATGTGATTTATCTTCTGAATCGCTTTCAAACTTCCCGGCTCGTACTGCCTGAGATTGCCACCATCAATCCACAACTCGTCAAGAAGCTCGATGCCCTCAAAGTTGCCTTGCCTTATTGTGGAGAACCACAGGTTGCCCAGGTAGAGAGAGCTCAAGTTCCTCAGGCTAGAAAAGGGGGAGCTTTCCCCCAGGTCCCTGTAGGAGTTCCCTTGAAGGTGGAGGTGCTGGAGAGAAAAAAGCCACCCAAACCACGCAGGGGACAGGCGAGCCAAGCTGTTATTTGATAAGTCCAGGAGCTCCAGTTTCCCAAGGGCACGAAACGAGTCCTCGTCTATTGAGCTGATTGCATTGGACTGCAGCAGCAGCATCCGCAGGTTCACAGTCTGCTGCAGATCCTGGGATCGGATGTGCTTGATCCTGTTGTGGGCCAGGTTTAACACTGTGATTTTGCCCGTGAGCCCTGAGGGAATGAAGTCCAAACCCCTGGAAGAGCAGTTGCAAAGCTGGGTGGCATCGCATGAAGGACAAGCCTGCTTCAGCGCTTGCTCTTCGGAGAGGTCTGCAGCTAAGACCATGTAGATGGCCCACACTCGCCAGGTGTGTGTATTTCTTGGTTTGTATTTTGTTTGACTGAACATTTTCCTGTAGGAAAAAGAAAGGAGACAAAGTATTATCAATTTTCAAACAACAATTGAAATCAATTTTAAACCTGTGCAATTTTATTAGGTAATTCAGATTCCAATTTTTTCTTGTAAGAAATATCCTGTGACATCATCCTTCTACTCCTACTTCAGCTGCTCAGTCCTGCAAATATGGCATGTACTCATCTTTAGACTACAGCTATATCATGTCTCAACAGTCATAAACGACTGTTCTCAAAGTCCTGCTTTTTCATATATGCATTGGTCATGTCTCTGGCCTCTTACATTTCTTGCTTTACACCTCCTCTTAGCAACAAAGCTATGGCTGGGTGTTTCAATCCTGAACAGGGGAAGATGGTTAGGTCATTAACGATCTGGATGAGGGCATCATATGCACCCTCAGGAAGTTTGCAGGTGACAGCAAGTTAGGTGGGAGCGTTGATCTACTTAAGGGTAGGAAGGGTCTACAGAGGGATCTGGACAGGCTGGATCGATGGGCTGGGGCCATTGGTATGATGTTCAACAAGGCCAAGTGCTCGGTCCTGCACTTGCGTCACCCCAACCCCATGAAGCGCTACAGGACTGGGGAAGATTGGCTGGAAAGCTATGCAGCAGAAAAGGACCTGGGGGTATTGGTCAACAGCAGGCTGAACATGAGCCAGCAGTGTGCCCAGGTGGCCAAGAAGGCCAACAGCATCCTGACCTGTATCAGAAACAGTGTGGCAAGCAACACGAGGGAAGTGACCATCACCATGTATTCGGCACTGGTGAGGCCCCACCTGGAATATTGTGTTCAGTTTTGGTCCCCTCCCTACAGGAGGGACATTGAGGTGCTGGAGCGGGTCCAGAGAATGGCAACGAAGCTGGTGAGGGGTCTGGAGAGTAAGTCTTATGAGGAGTGGCTGAGGGAGCTGGGGTTGTTCAGTTTGGAGAAAAGGAGGCTGAGGGGAGACCTTATCGCTCTCTACAACTGCCTGAAGGAGGTTGTAGAGAGGCGGGGGTCAGTCTCTTCTCCCAAGTCACAGGTGACAGGACAAGAGGAAATGGCCTCAAGTTGCACCAGGGAAGGTTTAAATGGGATATTAGGAAAAAAATTTTCAATGAAAGGGTTATCAAGCACTGGAACAGGCTGCCCAGGGAAGTCGTTGAGGTACCATCCCTGGGGGTATTTAAAAGAAGTGTAGATGTGGTGCTGAGGGACATGGTTTAGTGGTGGATGTGGCAGTTCTGGGTTAATGGTTGGACTCAGTGGTCTTAAATCTCTTTTCCAACCTAAATGATTGTATGGTTCTAAATGCCCACAGCCTTCACAGCATTAGTCTGTCCATCTGGTATGGCTACCCGTGAGGCAGAAGCTTGAACAGAGCGTGTCCACCCTCTTGGCCCTTTGAGTCGGCTGTGACTTCTGACACCACAAACTTTCCCTGAAGAGATTTTAGAGTATCCTGCATGAAGTCTCACCACCCTCAGGGCTTCTAAAAAGCAGAGCTGCACAGGCTCCTGGCACACCCTTTTTACACTGTGTAAGCAATTTACATTCTTTACTGGAAAGGCAGAACAAGCTGATATGCAACCAAACAAGTCTATCACCCTTTTCTGTAAATCAACACTGGTAATAGATGGGAATTGGATGTTACCACCACCCTATAAACAGTGGATGTAATTAGAACAATACTGATTTTAATTTACAGAAGGGCTGTGTTTCCTGCCACAGGTGCCAAAGAACATTTCACCATCGGCTACACCAGAAAATAAGTCACTTATTAAAGCTCACAAGCTGCTGTAAACAGCTCCAGCACTGCAGACAAGCAGTATCCCCATAACCCGAATACGCAGAGAGTAAATACTTACCTTGTGTACTGCCTGCTGTGTTTCAGTCTCCTCGTGTGCTGACCATGTTCTCTGGGATCCAAGTGGTCACCTCATACTTGCAAGTCCTACAGAAGCTAGAAATCCTCTGGCAGGTCTGATGCCACGACAGCCCTGGAGTGAGAAAATATTTCAGCCCGTGCTCCTCAAACAAAACTTTATGTGGAGAGTTTCCCAGTGTCCTCTAACTACTCAGCCAGCGAAGCACACCAGCATTGCACGGCTTTGCTTCAGTGGCTGCTCCCCCAAGGAAACCATGGCTTCTGCAGAGTTCAGCATTGTCCAACATGCACGACACTGCCCTTCAGACTCACGTTTCAACCATTTCTATTGACTGCTGCTGACAGGGGACACAAAACCGAGCGCAGCTAGTGTTTGCTCTCTCTTCTTCACCAGCTGAAATTCGGTGGCAGACCTCTCTCCTTTTGTCAGTCATCGCCCATCGCTGGAGAGGAAGAAGCAATCATTTTGCGCAAGTCATTCTTTCACAATCACTTCCTCCAGCATTAAGTGCAGAAATAGTACCTAGGCAGAACCTCCTTGTATCCTTGTGTCCTGCATTGACCTCCTCGTATCTCTACTTTCAATAATTAGTGGCTGGTATGTGTTGGGGGGTATTAACTGTACTGAGCAAAAGAACATCTCAGCACAACAAAGTTACTTTGTTGTGTACGTTCTGTAAAATGTTATCAATGTATAGACTGATATATATATTATATTGACACAAAAGTTGGGAGTTGTTTAGTCAGAGAATACTAGAGAAACACTCAGTATCTTTTCATTTCCTAGGACACTGCAGTCATACGTTATCAACAAATAGAAAACGCCTAAGAATGGGAATGATATCCTGTCTGAGAAAGAAGACACAGCCTGAAAGAAAGTGTCGCTCCATAAACATCCAAGGAAATTTTGAGAGAGGAGGTTTGATGATATTTATTTCAGCCTGACTGAAGGGAACCATGCAGCTGGTCAAATGGCCACTGCATGCAGGAAGGGGTAGGGGATCTTCCTATCAGCTCTGAAAGGGAAACCCATTAAATTTAAACACCAAACCTTCCTGCTTTAGTGATGGGGTTTTTTTTAGCAGAGTTAGGTTGATGGTTGGACTAGGTGATCTTAAAGGTCCCTTCCAACCTAGACAATTCTATGATTCCTACTGCGGTTTCCTTTTTATTTTTATTTTTTTGGACACATACATTGCCATGGTCTGCTGCCCGCTTGCACCAAGAGATGCCTGCCTGGGAGCAGACAGGTAAACTGCTGCTGCTAGACAGGGCAGCAACCAGCCGTGGGGGGCTATATTAGATCAGAGTTGACCAAAATAGTTGTAGAGATAGAAATCTATTTACATGGGTGTCCTGGTTTGAATGACACAGGACTAATTTATCTTCTAATATGGGGAAAGCTGCACCTTTAGAAGACTCTTAACATCTGAATTTGTGAAAATATTTGCTTATAGCCAGCTATAGTATGTGGGTTTCAAGGTCTCAGTGTTGCCGAGTTAACCAGGTGCAGGGATGAGGAGGAGCAAGACCAGGGCACTTGACCCAAGCTGGCCAACAGGATTATCTCATACCATGAACATCACATTCAATATAAATTAGAATGTTTGCTGCAAAGTTTTCTCTCCCTTGATGGCAGTGGTCCAGAGAACTTCTTGCCCCAGCAGTGGACCTCTGAGCCCTTTCCTTCCTCCTGAAGCCGTAGTGTTTACAGTGTCCCTCATTTGCTGTCCCCTGCTGGGATTGCACAACTTCCACTGATAGAATTGGCTGAGTATAATGCTTGTATATTCTATATTAGTATTGAGATCAGTACTGGTTCTTTAGTATATTAATGTTAATTATTTGGTATTATCCTATTAAATCTATTTATATTTCAACCTTAACGTTTCCTTGTTTTTCCCTGATTCTCCTTCCCAGGTGAGGAAGGGTCATCGGGTGATAGAATAATTGTCTAAATGACAATAAATTGTTGCAGGTTCCTCAAACCACAACAGTGGGACTGAAACCCACTGGTTTTTTGCTAATTGAAATCCACGAGCCAAGTGGCAACACTAGTCCTCAGTCTGCCATTAGAGTTAGAAGGTTTATTTTGCTGTTATCACCCCACTGTCTCCTCTTTCTGCATTTGTGTTGTTTTACCCAGGGAAACACGGCTTTAGGAACAGACTCCAGTTGCTAGAGCCCTGCAGCCCCCTCACATCTGCCAGCCAGAGGTACTGACTTCTCCATCTCCCTCAGTATCTGGGCATGTTGCACCCTTTAAAGCACTTCTCTTTCCCAGTCCCACATTGGAGGATCCTGCAATCCGTCCCCTCCCTTCCTCTCCTTCCTCCTGTCTGTCAGCACCACCACTCAGAACTGCTTTTTGCTTTTCTGCTGAGCCGTGCAGAAGGGGCCCGACCCAGGCAACACCTTGCCCCAGACCCCTTCCTCAAAGAAAAGGCAGAAGCAGTAGAAAAGGGAGAAAGGGCATGGATCCCTCGGCCAGCCTGTGATATGAGCAAGGCAGACTTTCCAAATCTTTGCAAGCAGTGCAAAGCTCCTTCCTCATACTTACCCCTGGTGACCAGGACGTGTCCTTCCTCAGCTGGGCAGCTGTGGCCGTGCCAGCCAGGCTGAGCCTGGGGCACTCCTCTCCTACCCTCCCTGGAAGCGGCTGGCACGGGAAAGCGGTCAAATCTGTGCTTGCAGTCTTCGGAGCAGGAGGTATAATACTCGTGTAATTGGAAGCAGAGCGGCCTGGCATCCTCTCATGGTCCTGGAAGCTGAGCCTTGGCATGCACTGCCCGTGCCTATGCTTTCATCTGACTTGCACGGCTTCGGGTATTCGTCTTCAAGCTACAACAAAACGAACATTATTATGAAAAATAAACAATTTAAACTTTGTCGTGTTCCATATCGGGCCTGCCTTGCCAGCGACTCAATCCCCTTGGTTAAATCTTCAGACTGTAAATTTAAATGCAGAGGAGCAGATTCCCCATGCTTTTCTTCTGGGCTATCCTCGCCCTGCCCTTGTGGCAGAGCCTGATAGTGCTGTGTAAATGGTTACTCATTCAAAAGCCAGCCTTCAGGGCTGTCTCTACCAAGGAAGGAGGGCTGCAGGGTATTTTTTTTACCATATCCTGTCTTAAAGCATTCAGTTGGAATACCATGATGCTGATCTGCTGCCTTAACAGAGGAGCAGCTAGCAGGGAAGTTTGCATGGTAAGACACCAAAGCTTATTCTAATAATGTGGAAAGTTTTGTTTTTCTAGAACAGTTGCATCAGCAACTTCCCCAACAGGAAGAAAGCCCTAATATCTCCAAAAATAATCCTGATGAGTTTTTGACTCTCAAGGAAATTGCATCAACAGAAAGCAGCCTGCATGCGAGGCGGAGCTGGACAACGCAATTCCTTTCTTACTTTGCACTTTTTTTAAGGTGGGGTGAAAGCAATTTGCTTCTGACAGGAACATTAGGATTTTCCATTAATACACAGTTATAAAAATACCATGGCAAGTTTTAGCAACCGTTTCCAAAGGCCACTATGTCAAGCACACTAAACCCCGTTACCAGCATCACAGAAATTTGTTACTCCAAACTGGGAACTCGGCTACAGCTCAGGCAGCAGTGGTCCCCCTGCCCAGGGCTGTTTGCTCCCCAGACCTGTGTGGGGCTGGAGACCAGCCAGGCACGCTGGCGGGTAGCTCAGTGGCACACAAGCCCTGGACACACAGAGGGATCAAAGGGGCCGGGGTACCGGCATGGCTGCCACGGGGCTGCCTGGCACTGCTGCAGGGAGTAAGGCACAATATAAACTGATACCAACAATTAACGAAACTCCCCCAGGAGACATCTGTCTGGAAATACAGCTGGTGGAGTACAACTTCCTCTGAGGGACGCCCAGGGCCTCCTGCATCCCTGCTCCCAGAGCAGATGCAGGAATGGGAACCGCACATGGAGGCAGGTGCCCAAGAGCCATAAAAAAGCTGCTTAGAGCAGCCTTGACCTCAGTTTTTCTTACAGGCTAGCTTGGCTGTATCAGCCCTTGTATTTCCCATATTCATAAACCTGGATGTCCACAAGCACACCACAGGGAGACTAATCAGGCTGTAGGACTCGGGAACTTGAAGAACAAACATGATGATACTGGGACCTCAGAGGTCAGCCCAAAAGTACTTCTCATCACCTGGGCAAATGGGCTCCCAGCCTGCTGCTGTTAGGGATCCATCCCCTAAAACATACAGAGCCTGGAAATCACATTTTCTTTCAATCTATTTTCTGCAATTTTCATACTGCAAATTGGTTCAATGTTACCAACATACAAAGCTGCTTCCTCAGTTTTTCAGGCACCTTCAGGAAATACCTCTGTGTAGCTTTCCAAAGTACCACTCACTCAGTATTTTGAAGGACTTTTTTTCTTTGCTGTCACATATCACGCTCTTGCCGTGTTGCTCAGCTTGCGTTGCTGTAGACTACATGGCAGAGGTCATCTCTTATGGGCTGCCCAGAGAGGTATTTGGAGACATAAAACACATTTCCAGTTTTTGAGAAAAAGAGGTGCCATGTCGACTTCAAAACAAAAACTTTGCAGGTTTCGGGAAAGAGACAAGACCACCCTTGGCTCTGGCCCCCCAGGAGGCACCAAACCCCCCCGTGATGAGACAATACCGTCACCGCAGTGCGTCCCCCACCATCAGGGCTGCTTTAGGTACCCATGGGTTGGGGTCCTCACGTGCCCTGCAAAGCACAAGCTACGCTACGGGGGATCGGGGGGAAGGAGAAATGGGATCTCTTACACTCACTGTTGGACAGCTTCTGCTTCCTTTCAGCTCACCAGGAGACAAAACACACTGTCACACAGCCCACCGGGTGCAAGCCGTCACCAGCAGGCTGTTGTGAGGAAGTCTGAGTTTAACATCCTGGCACTGGAATTTCCTGCAAAGAGGAAAAACAGTTTTGCTCAGCTCTGAGGAGAAGCTCCTTTAAGGGAGGCTGGGCAAAGGGACATGCGTGTTGGTGCGCTTCATTTCAACAAACCTTGTCTTTCCTCACCGAGAGGAGTGTGTGGACACACATCTCATTCCTAGGTCTATCTAGTGCTAATACACTGAAGAAGTGCTTTCTTTTTTTTTTCCTCTTTTTTTTCTCTTTTCTTTTTTTTTTAACAGAAGGAAAACATTCCTGGGAATGGGACCAAGTCATTGCAGAACCAGCTAGAGTTTGTTTCCTGTACAGAGATGGAAAACACTGTGCTGGGATGCAGAGATACGTATTTAACTGCTTGTTATACACCAAAAAAAATTGTGTTTAACAGTTGGGCAAGAATCTGAGCAGGAAATTAATCAGATCATTATCATATGCCATAAAAATACCAAGATTTTTGTATTCATTCCAAAAAAGACAATGTGAGGATATATTTTTGCACAGGTAGTTCAGATTTTGCATTCACTCCCTCTGTACCTGATGCCATTAAATACTTCAGACATGACAGCACATTTCAGAAAGAGAAAATAAGCTTATTCCAAATCCTTATTTTCAGTTATCCAAGACCTGAGAAGCAAATTCTTCAATGCAGGTACCTTTCTTGATTTATCTCCTATCGTAGCTCTGTATTTTAAAAAAAATCAGGAAAAATCTAATGAGCTATAGCCAAGGTTTTTTTGCACTGGAAAAATTACATGTTTTGTGAGTCTCTTGCAGGGATTATTTCTATCGTGTTCTTTCGCATTTGTATGTTTTTCTTAAACAAACTTTTTAGAAGTTTGAATACAGCAGTTGTAAACACCCATAAAAACATCACTTTTGCTAAAAATTAAAATCCTGATCATAAAATTATGCCAATAAGTATTTGAAAAGTGTGTGTTGAATCTGACAGAGCCACCAAAACATCTTCGAATAATTAGATATTTCCAATATTTGACCATTCTCTGACTTTCCAGACTTGAACATGATTGAAAACAGACATCCCAAGCTGATTTTGAAGTACCCACTCAGCTATTTTAATCATTCCTCCTAAATTATCCTCAGATTGCATTTCTTGCTCTTCTGTAAGTTTTCTTGAGTGTAGCAGCTTAGTAATGATAGATTCAGAACGGACCTTTTAACTCTTGTGCCCGTCCTGCAGTATGACTTTTTGTCTTTATCACAGTACCTAGAGAGAGAAACAGCCCATACCGGAGGGATCAACCCCACAAAACAAGATGCTTCCTACTACTGTGAAATACTTACATTTACAAACTTTTGAGTTAAATTCCTCTCTAACATCCAAACAAAACCACCTGGGCATGGTACATGGGACACAGCCTTGACTTGCCGATGCAGGTAGGTCCAAGATGGTCTGGAGACACCTGTGGCAAAGCCCCACCGCAGCCAATCATGCTCTCCCAGAGTGGTGTGTTTAGTCAACAGCTTTGATAGGAAATGGTTTTCTTTTCTTTCTTCAGGTTTTGTTTCAACCCAGCAGTTTCTGCCAGGTCACGGTGCCTGTTTGAGGAAATGGAGCACAGCCTGGGCAGCAGTGGCACAGACTTGAGAAGGAATAGTCCTTTCTTAGCAATGTCCCACTACTCCAATAGCGATGGTCCAGAGACATTGCTGACCCTATAAACCTTTTAGCAGGACTTAGGAACTCCATCATAGAGCAAAACCCCAGCGCAATAGCTGATTGCAAGCACAGGGTAACAAAAAACAAATGAAAAAAACCCCACTCTTCACTCGAAAGCAAGTAGGGAACTTACTTAGACAAGGAGTGCAACCGGGGGTTGTACTAATGCTAAAAATGTTTTTGTAGATCTCTCATAAGTGTAGAATGCATGGTAACCATGCTTCCAAGTAATTTGCTCTGTAATTTGCAGCTTTTGGACAGAAGAGATATCAAAGGAAGAGGAATGAAAGCAAAAAAGAGGTGAAAACAGCCAACTTTCCTCTCAACAAATGGAACAACAGGACAAGAATAAGTTAATTCAGAGATAACCACAGGGCAATGCAATTTGGCTACCTTACATCTGCTCTACTGCGGGAAAGAGCATCAAATGAGGTGCATTCTCTTAGCTTGTATCATTTCAGGTGATATTCCTCCAATGCTGGACTCATCATGAGCTCTGCACCTGAGGGTACAAGAAGATCTTTGTTTCTTTGGGTCTTAGCATCCAATGTTTAACAACTCTTACTCAATAGACTGACCACCTGGTTTGTTTTCAGCTTAGAACTTACACAAGTGTCAGTATAAAGATTCTTTTCTATTTATAGAAATTATGTTACATTTGCACTTCTTTCATGGGCTATTTTTATGACATCATTTTAAATTAATTTCCTGTATGTTCCATGATTAATAGGTTCAACACATTTCCTTTAAAATCAGTCCTTTGACGTACTTTATTTCTCTGGGGTTGTTTCCTTGAACTCTATTCCCAGCTCACACATGAAACAAAAAGCCCAACCAAAGCATACTGAGATGCATGACCCTCTGTTGAGAGGACTCCCTTTTGGTCGTCTCTCTGGTGTCTACATGTTTCTGTCTGATATTTGTAAAGCCTTCCAGATTAATAGTATTCTTTCAAGAGTCGCTAGCAAAAATGCAGTGAGTAGTGGGAGAAGGGATGGATAAGGGGAAGGCTGGACTCTTCTCCCCTATTATTCAGGGGTCTAATTTTTTTCTGTAAAATAAGTATTCCTCACACTTGTCATGATGAAAGACAAGCCTAAGAATGAGTTTGACTTGTTCCCTGTTTCCACAGGTGGAGAAATCCTGACTTTAGGCCAGACGGTCCCTTCTCTATCACAGGGAACTTGGGAAGGAGCTGGCAAGTTGCTTGGCTGGACAAAAAATCCTATGAGCTCATAACTTCTCACCGAGTAACAGGACAACATCGCTACCACTGACTCATTCTGGATAAGTCAGGTCTGCAACTGGATTAAGGGAGAACAGTGTGTTTCTATCCGTTTTGTCTCCGTACCGCTCCTCCTGCTGAAACAGCCCCCCGGCCATGAAGGAACCGCTTTGTGCTCGGCTCTGCCTCTTACTCCTGCTAGGAAGTCCCCAAAAGAAACCCCCCCATCCCCCAGGAACAGCACCGACCGTAAAATAATCTCCTGGCCGTTTGCTTTCCCAAACTCTGCTGGCACAGCGAGGACTGCGCACGCTGCCAAAGTTAACAAGGAGGCACGTTAATCCCTCCTCTTGCTACAGAGTCTTTCCAGACCTGCTTCAGCTTTCTGG